ATTGCTTTCTTATTATATGTTGAAAATGTACTCAAAACTATGCAGTTTTGTGTTAATTCAATATTTGAAAAATTTATATCAGTCAGTGAACGTAACTGTGATATTATATGTACATGTACTTTCCTTTCTAGAGGTGACTTTGCTATTAATAGTATTTAATGGTCAGATGATGATGTTAATGAGGTCGATCGACGACAAAATATTAATTAACTCCATTGTATTATATTTCATGAAGTAAATAAATAAATTACATGCATATATACATGCATGCATGGATGCATGAGTGAGCCTGGACAATAATCCAAGCAAATGTCACCCGATGTATGGCAATAAGTTTCATATGTACTGAAAATTACGAAGAAATTAGTACAATTTCATGGATTAAATGAGTTCACTCTTATTCATTTGTGCTAGACACAATTGCTCTTTTGACACATTGATTTTGCTCGACCTTCCCTTCCATTTGTTAATCTTAGTGCCTGAATATTTGGAAGTACGATCGAACTCTACAAAAGGCCACAGTCAAGTAACTTCCAGATAYTGCAAATCAACACATCGGTCCTTTTTAATTTCCCTTTGAGACACCATACCTATGTATCAAAAACGAAAGAAAGCCCAAAACTGCAGTGATCCCAAGCTAGTTTGGAGCAATGGTCCAATTTCGATATTTTGGTTGAATGTTCATGAACAAAAGGACCGAGGTCGAGGCTCAAAAAGAGAGAGAGAGAGAAAAGACAATTTGCTCCGGAGTCGTGGTTAGTCAACCAAAATATATATGATTTGTACTACTTACCTATATTGTTGTGAGCAATCGCTTCTCCCTGCTTATCGCCAATCTCTTTAACAATGTCAAGGGTCTTCTCATGATATTCCATTGCTGTTTGGTGTTCCCCCAGTATTTGATAAACACTTCCGAGGTTTCCATAAGCTCTTCCTTCCCCTTGTCTGTTTCTGATCTCTTTGGCAATGTCAAGGCTCTTTTTGTAAGATTCTATAGCCTTGTGGTATTCCCCTAATGATCGATAGACATTTCCTAAGTTTGCGTAAGCAGGTTCTTTTCCTCGTCTGCTCCCAGTCCTTTCAGCAATGTCAAGGCTCTTTTTATAAYATTCAATTGCCTGGTGGTATTCCTCCATTGACAGATAGGCATTTCCTAAGCCTTCATACGACGCTTCTTCTCCTATTTTGTCACCAATTTCAGCGGCAATGACAAGGCTCATTTTATTGTATTTGATAGCGTTGTGGTATTCTCCTAAAAAATGATACGAAGCCCCCATGCCTAGATATGAACTTCCTTCTTCTTTTCTGTCCCCAATCTCCTTAGCAATGATAAGACTTAGTTCATGGTATTCAATTGCTTTCTGGTATTCCCCTATTGATCTATAGACACTTCCCAAGGAAATGTAACACATTCCTTCGCCTCGTCTGTTACCAATCTCTTTTGCAACTTCAAGGCTTTTTTCATGATATCCAATTGCATCTTGATGTTTTCCTAATGATTTATAGGTATTTCCTAAGTTCCCATAGCTATTTCCTTCCCCTCTTCTGTCACCGATCTCTTTAGCAATTCTAAGATGTTTTTCATGACATTCAAGTGCTTTGTGGTATTCATCTAATGCTCCATAGGCAATTCCTAACATTGCGTAAGAGTATTCTTCTCCTTTTTGGTCGTGAATTTCGCTAACAATTTCAATTCTCTTTTCATGACAGTCAATTACGTTTCGGTATTCCTCTAATGAAAGATAGGTATTTCCTAAGTTCATATAAGAATTTACTTCACCTTGTCTATCACCAATTTCTTTAGCTATGCGAAGATGATTTTCATGATAATGAATTGCCTTGTGATATTCCCCTAATGACTTATAGACGACCCCTAAGTTTCCATAGAAATTTCCTTCTCCTCGTCTGTCTCCAATCTCTTTAGCAATTTCAAGACCTTTTTCATGGYATTCAACAGCCTTGTGGTATTCCCCTAAGGATCTATAGGCGACCCCTAAGTTCATATAAGAATGTTCTTCTCCTTCTTTGTCACCAATCTCTTCAGAAATGGTAAGCCTCTTTTCATTATATTCAATTGCTTTGTGGTATTCCCCTAATGCTTGATAAGCATATGCTAAGTTTCCGTAAGAACGACCTTCTCCATCTTTGTCACCAACCTTTTTAGCTATGTCAATCCTCTTGTCATTATATTCAATTGCCTGGTAGTATTTTCCCAGTGATAGGTAAACGGCTGACATGTTTCTGTACATACCTCCAAGGATAGTATAAATTGTCATCTGTAATCGTGTATCGTGCAGAAAAATAGCCACCACCAAACATTCCTCGAGTAGGAGGAGAATTTCTTCCAGTTTTGGTATTGCCAGGCCTTCAGGTCCAGCACAAARAGACTGTGCATACATGACGCAAAACCATATAAAAGGAACAATGTTGATATCCATTGTGGCAATATCAGCCTTTGTCGATCGGCTTAATTCTGAGGAAAAGAGGATTATTTTAAGAAATCTAATCAAAAGCACCAAAATCTAATTTCAAACCAATTAGTGAATCAAAAGTAGTCGATTTCTGGGAAAAAAATTAAGGATTTTTAAAAAGAAGCACCTTAAGTCCAAAAGAACTTTTTTTGAAAAAAGAAAAAGAAAATTAAAGAATACGCAACGGCCTCACCTAAACTCTCTTACAAAGCATTAAACAGTCTCGTCCTCAGAGTCTGCATCCTCGGGAACCCAGGGGTAATCTTCTGTCKTTCGTTCCTCACTCCCAGAAAAAATAMCCCTGGGCACGAAGTCTGTTAGACCTYGTTCTYGATTCGAAATTCAAAATGGCGGCTGGTAAATWTCTGATTGGTCGAGTGATTCACTCGAACGTTCTGATTGGTTGATCAACTTACTGGCCGCCAATTTGAATTTCGAATCGAGAACAAGGTCTAACTGACTTCATGCCCAGGGGTATTTTTTCTGGGAGTGAGGAACGAACGACAGAAGATTACCCCTGGGTTCCCGAGGATGCAGAGTCTATTCCAACTTTATGCATTCTTCTAATGAGATTAGAGTGGTTTCCATTAACCCGTGAAACACACTTTAGCCGGTATTTATCGCTATTACACTTTGGCTCTTTTGCTTTTTATTGTCTCTACGCTACTATTACGATCTATTACACTCTAATTATTACACTTTGTTTCACGGGTGTATGAAAACCACTCTATCGTAAAAAACGACACGAATTCATTTATCCTTGAAAGTCGCTTTCATAATTAAAACAATTCTCGTTCACGCTTGCGATTTAAGAGGTGAATTTCACTGGCGATCTTTTAATTATTGCGCAATTTCATAGCGACTAAATAGGCGATTAAGCAATGCATGAATATTTAAATAGGATTGTAATTTCCGTGAAAATTCTGATTTGCGACAGTGAAGCGAGCGGTGAAGTTAAGCAGTTTCGTTYTTGAAGCCTGGTTGTCGAAGCTTCTAAATTACTCCTTAATAAAAATAGCTTTTTGATAAATAAACGTTTTAAGACACACTTTTAAGAGACGATCTTTATGACAAAAAAACTCCCCTGTTTATTTCCGGTTAAAGCATCTTTTAAGTTGAAACTATCTCTTTTTTGAATTTTTAAACGTAAAATGTCAGTATTCTTGCCAGGAATTGTGCCCTTTCCGATACGTTTCACTTATAGCTATTATGTCTGGTATTGGATCTACAACAAATGCATAAGACCATCATCTTACCTATAACATGTRAAATCCTTGTTTGATTTGTGTATTCACATCACTTCAGATCATCAAATTGCATATTCCATCGCAGTGTATTATTTCCAAGAAATAACGTAAGTCGGTTTTCGATTAAAAGAGTAGGATCGAACGCCAGGATCAAATATTTTTTTCGTATTCAAGACTCAAGCAAGGAGTAAACGAATCGTTTCTTGGTAATCAGACTATGCAGACGTTACGTCATGCTGTTGGAGTATTATCCTCTGATTGGTTGATGAATCAAAATATTTAATGCCCTCGAWGTCACCATATTATTACAACGTACATGGTATAAAATGAATATCTAAATTTTGGCTTACACAAGAAAGTTATATAATTTCCTCCCAAAACGTATGTAAACATATTTTCCATCACATTTTCCCTTAAATACGGGAAATAATTCATAGAATTCATTGGACATTTTTGTAAAATGATAAGTTTGGTTGATGAACATCGCTGTCGCAGCATGGCGTGTATATAACAGTTAGAGGCCAATAGTCTCAAGGCTTTTTAGATACACCAAAAGTGATCCTTGATAGACAAAAAGGTGTAGAATTTTGACATGTTACCTGGGTTTTTACTGTATTTTTGTGTTTGATCAGTGAGGGAGCGGGAACAAGGTTGTCATGCCGATTAAACGCACGACCGACACTTAGTATGGGTATTCTTCGTTTTCAAGTGACGTCACAGAGGCYATCTTGTAGTACCATCAACATGCATCAACAAAGGATTTCTCATCAGTATCTATTGTTCATTCATCCAACATGCATGGTTGCCAGTCTTTTATGTTTTGAATCTCATGGGAATGGTTGAAAACGATCAATAGATTATGGACGGAAATATTCACCCATCAAAGGTGGTCAACATTATATTTTGGTTTGTCCTTAATTGTTTTGTGGCAAATGGTCGGTGGTCGTACAAGAGAGTGCTGAATGACAGGTGATGGCGGTGCATGTATAGTGGTCGGTGGTCGTACAAGAGAGTACTGGATGACAGGTGATGACGGTACATGTATGATGGTCGGTGGTCGTACAAGAGAGTACTGAATGGCAGGTGATGACGTCACATGTATGGTGGTCGGTGGTCGTACAAGAGAGTACTGAATGGCAGGTGATGACGGTACATGTATGGTGGTCGGTGGTCGTACAAGAGAGCACTGAATGACAGATGATGACGGTACATGTATGGTGGTCGGTGGTCGTACAAGAGAGTGCGCGTAATTTCTTCCACAATGCATATTGGTTGCTTAACAACCAACCTTTTGTTTATTTTCAAAATAACTTGAACAGCAAAAATGTCTTTGACTAGAACACAAAATACAAGTTCCAAGTCGATGTTAATCGGCGTAAATACACCTTAGTCTGTACAGTATTATTTAAAAACGTTTGAATCAAGATTAATAATATGGATTCCTTGCGAATTTTGCGTATGATAAATGTTAAGCGAAAGAATATAAAGCGTTTACTAAACTGTCCCATTTTTACGAAGGCTTGATAAAAGTATCTAATGTCGGGACTTGGACTGTTTCACGTTATTTTGCCTTCTAAAACCGGCTATACACCTTTAGCATCCAACAAACTATGGCCTATTACAAATCCCGCATTCTGATTGGCTACTGAACTATGGTGTGATTCATGATTTTCCATGTTAGCACCGAATGAAGCAAAATTAGTCGAAAAACGCCGAGAAAAATTGTTCCTTATGGCCTTTTTTCAAATTTACCCCATAGTTTGGTGGATACTAAAACAATTAGKCTAATCGACCTCGTGGTCTGATTGTTAAATATATTCTTGTTGTATAATTTTAAGAATTCACGGAGAAAATAATAGCTCCAATAATATCAACAACATTAGCTAAGGTATGTAATGTACAGCGAACTTTCTCAAATGAAAAGTTTAAAATATCCTAGAAGTGTATAAGATTTAAGGTTGCTAGTTGGCTTCGTTTTGTAGAAGTGTAATGTAGTTGTCTAGTGTACTCTCGAGTTCTTCAATGTTCTCTGGTATGTGATTTTCTCCTGAACTCTGCGAAAAGAGAAAGATAAAAAAAGATTAAGAAATCTCCGATTATAAAATTAATAGACCTGAATCAGCTGACGCGTCACGGCGTCCGTTTTCACCCAATAAAAAAACTCCAAGAATAAGTACTGTTGCCTAAACATCCATCTGGTTGGYTTGAAATGGATGGAAGAGTTTTATTACAACGCGTGCTTTAGCTGCAACATTTTTCGATTCGGTGCACAGTATTAGAAACATAAAACTACAAAATCAGTCCAAAACACTTTTCAGGAAATATGATGAGCTCACTGTACAACAATGAAGTTAATGAGTCATAACGGGTCAGCGGACTTACATCATTTAACATGCCTATGAGTTGGCATGTTTTTCCTCTAAGTGACGTCAGCTGTTGAGTGACGTCAGATAATTGTTTCTTTGTTTCTTGTAATTCTGTGTTAATTACGGCTCGTTCTTCAGTCTTTGCCTTGACTGTTACTTTATCCAACCACTAAAACCACAGAAAATACTACTTTAATTTTAATGACTTAAGGTGCTGCACAAACATGACATGTTTTATTTTTAAAGAACCATCTGTATCCGACAGCCTTTGCGAAGTTTGATTGCTGAATTCCCATTGGTTCAAAACCAAAGATGATGATTTTTCGTGTGTGTGAGAAGATCGGAGCAAGGTTCTCATATAAGATTGAAATTATGGCTATTTTAAATTACATGTTAATAGTTATAAGTCAGAACCTAACAATTACAATCTTTTCAATCTGGTTATATTTGATACACTTCAAATAGATTAAAAACGACTGATGGCTTTTTTCTAAAAAGTTGATACCAAACATTAGGCAAAGTTAGATATGTCMAACTTACTGTTCCTAAATCTTCTTCGTACTTGTCACAGAATTCTTTCTGTTTAAAGCAAAGTTGTTTTATTAGTAGTGAGTAGTTCCTCTTACAGAACACTGATAGAGAAAATATAACTATAGCGATGAGAATGGTGTAAATAACTGATTTTCTTCCGCTGTGAAAAGATCACCGAATTTATACAGCATTTTTTTGGTTTTTGGTTCGAATTCCCTTTGTAATAAATCGTAAAAGACCTCGACTGCTTCTTACCGTGTTGAAGTTTCTAAGCTCTTGAATAGACAGGCAGCCGAGCTGATCTTTTGTCAGGCGGAACTCTGGAGGCGCGTAGAACGCCAAAAGTTTCCTATGGTAAGAAATGCTGAATTAGCATTCACATATCTACATGGATTTCTAGTTAGACTACTATATTCAACCAAGCAGCAACAATCCCTCTAACGTCTAGTAAAAACAAGCAACTCGAAAGGATCCTTTACGATACCTTGCCAAAGCCGCGAGGTCCTGGACAGTCTCTTCACGATCAGCCAATGAKGATACTGTATTGTCTGGCGAGGCTACAGGACTAGAGGGAAGGCTTGGTGGCCTAGGTGCTTCAGTCGTAGTTGTGCTTGGTAGCTCTATCGATGAACTCGAAGGAAGAGGYTGTGGAGAAGGGAGACTGACCGGTGATGAAGGCGTTGACTCGCTTGACTGAAATATTTAAAAGAGATTTAAAATGGAACCGCAACACTAATTGAATACCCCGTCCCGCTATTGTTGCCAATGTTTGAATATTTGTACATGAGAAGCCATAAATATTTCGCTTTAGAGATTCCATAAAGGTTGCTCACTTAAATGCATTTTCGCTTTGAATTTAGTGCTCCATCCTCTAATGAATAAAAAAAACATTGCGAAATCTCCAAAAACCCATCAATATAGATAAAAATCACGCCTATATAAAACTACGATTATATGCTTGTTTTAATAATTTTTTTTAATGTGCTAGTTGTTGTTGTTTTAGAGTTATCCATGATTGTAATGAGTCTCGTTACGATATTCCTGTCTGAATACTCACCAGTTCGAGACGGATGCTGATACCAGGATAATCATACCTAAATAACAACGTATGCAGGTAAGTGAGCCACTTAATAATAACTATAATGCTATAATTCACTCTCCTCTTGAAGGCTTTATGTGCCACATTCCCACGCCCCCCCCCCCCGTTAGGAGATATGTAGCTAGGAGACTACCTATGATCGGACAATTCGTCGTTCGTTCGCAGAAACAAAAGTTGTGCCAAGAAAAAAGTGTCAAATAAGACATACCACTTGTCAAAACTGTCTTGAGGAGTTTCTCGGAATTTCACTTTAGCAAATATTCCATCGCCTTTTTGTTTAACACATACTATCGTACCGACATGCCATCCGCCATCGTGCGTCTTGGCCTCGCACTCACGACCTTGCAAAGCGATGATATCGTTCGGTYCTACAAACCAGAAATGATTGATTATAACAAATACTAAAATACGAATAAATAGACGTCTGAAGCTTTTACGTCGTCTACTTGATTGGCAATGCATTGTGGGATCGGTTTCTGGAGAAAACAAAAGAAATCCGCAATGTTTTGCCCCAAACATATCCTACAATGCCTTACGTATACGGTATACGACGTARTAGCTTCATAGTTCAATAACCAYTGAAAATTATACACGTCTAACATGTGGAATTGGAATATTTACCGGTGGGTTTAGAGGGTGTTGATTTAGACGGACCACTAGCTTCAGCCTCGCGTTCATTAGTCCAGTCCATGTCCGCGTTACTATCAATCTCCGGTTCCTGTATTCAAAGCACCGCTGTTATACTAACGCTTCATTCAAATAGCTTTTTAATTGGTGATATTRCAGTAGCCTAGGAGACGGCTCGAAAATGAATATCTAATATTCCATATCGTCATCCGAGTATGAGAAGGCTTTTAAGAAAGACTTAATAATCATACGACATTATGCATGGATGTCATTTTAACATTCTATTTATTTTTATTCCCATCTATTCTAGTTCTATCCTTTCAATTTTTGATTACTTTCTTTTCAATCCCATAGCTCAATTTCATGTGTGAAAAAAAAATATGTCTAATCTTACTCTTGAATTAATTATTTTTAGTGGTTGGTTGAGGGAGTTAATTCATACTTACAATGGCAACAGGAGACGGGACTGCGTCGCTTTTTCTTCGTTTAGCCGCGTCACTTTTCTGCAATAAAAACACACATTTTTTTAAAAAAATGTCCTATTTAGATGACTTGCAGTTAATGGGAAAGTAGCTCTATTTAGAGAACAACACAAGGCATGTTTGTCCTAGAGGTAACCACGTCTTCGGCCCCAAATGAAAGGGGTCTTTATTATAGACAGACACACAGAAGATTTTAAGATACATTATCACAGAGATGCCTCTGTTACACAACTCCTTCCATTCGAGGTGAGTGTATTTCCAATAAAAAGAATTGTTGTTGAACATACCTCTTGAACATCCTCTACGTTGTTGTTATCTGGGTGAGGACGTTTCATGGTCTAAACATAAATAATACTCGGTTAAACTACTTGGTAACACTTTAATAGTGTCTCATGTTCTGCAAGTTAGCTTAGCGGTGGGAAAATATCTTGAATGGAAAAAAAAGAACGACAAGGAAAAACACAAAATCGAAATTGACAAAGAATGAAATATCCATGCTACCGATGCTCTACCGGCTCAGCTACRAGTTCAATTGGCAGAATGYTGGGGGYGAAATTGATGTTAGATAGAAATGTAACTGATATGAATATGTAGAACAGTGCTATTAGATCCATGGAATGGAAATAAGAGGGAGGTTATAGTGCTAGAAAAGTACAACAAGGAAAGTAACGATTTTCTGACACATATAGGCTTAACATACCGACTCTCGTTTTTGCTCAGTACTGTCGGCTTTTGGTGGCCGTCCTACTGGTCTCTGTAATAGAAATAATCAATTGTTAGAGAATTGGTAAAAGGTAGAAAAGACACATCAGTAAGAAAACATTCAGTAGTTTACTTTTTGTGATGACTTCTCTTGTTTTATCTGACGCGAGGCTGTTGTTGTTGGACTTGGAGTCTGGTAACAAACAGAAAATTATTAATTAATACACCGTTACTGACCCCTCCCCTCAAGAGTCAAGAAATAGTTGCTTCATTGACTTTGAAATTTCGACAGCACCAGTAATTCTTAATTTACTCGAAAAAACGGATACTCGGAAAACAAGATATCTTAYAAACTAAATATCAACATACATTTATTTGCAAAGGTTCTTAAGTTTTCTTAGATGTATCTTCTAGTCAAATCAGTTTAAATCCAGCAGAGTGCTTTCATTAAAACCGTGAAAGACTAATTACCAAATTGTGGAAAATAGTTGAACATAAGAATTATCACGAAATTGTAGAAAGAAATACGTTTACGGATAAAAGCACTGTACTCTCTAGCTTGTGGCGTAGACTAATGTTTGGGCGCTCTTTACAGAAATCATTGCTTTCTAAAAAGCATTTCCCGTATATTACTAGTATTTAATTATCATATATTCAGCTCTGTCTAAGACTTCTACGCACATATTGACATACACGTCACTCGGCCTTAGCCAATCACAACGCATAAACTCAACTCAAATCGAAACAGTGTCTAGACAYAGAAGTGTAACGAGCCATTKGTAACTAGAACGTGAATAATTTTTGTAATGAAGGAGAAAAATTCCCTGTTTTGAAYATGGTCRTCCTAGTTACGTATCAAAACCGTTATTACAAGAACCGCGTGATACTTCAAGAAGTCATGCATGCTAGACAAAATTCATTTTCTACGCTGCAGTTTCCCTTGGATCTTTGTGTTACGGTYTGATGTCATGTAGCTTTAATCCTTTTAATTTCAAAAGTTGAACCTGTTTTCAATTAAAAACCAACGCGGAACAAAAGTTTTATTTGACTTGAATTGACAAACCAAAGAATTTAAATTTTTATATCTAAGTAATAAGTTATGAGCCCAATATGAAGGTAAAAATAGCTTATATAATATTTCTAACTTAAACTTATATACGATATCCCAAAACAGGAGAAAGACGAAAAAAAAAGGAAGAGACATTTTTTAAGTAAGACAATTTCGCCAATTTCACAGTGCATTTCAAAAACATTACATGAATACAGCTAATAATCAATGTAACAATCAAACGATAGAATCTTTTTCAACAACGAGCAACAACGAGCAACAAAAAAAAAAGGAAGAGACATTTTTTTAGTAAGACAATTTCGCCAATTTCACAGCGCATTTCAAAAACATTTTACGAATACAGCTAATAATCAATATAACAATCAAACGATAGAATCTTTATTCAAAAACGAGCAACAATCTCCACCGAATTAGAATTATCTTGGTTAATGTTTTTTTTTTTTTTTATCTCAGCACAAACAGATATCTTCGAGGAGACACTCGGGATTAATTTGATAACGATCATTACACCTTTTATATACCATATCATTGAGGTTCGTTTTAACACACCATGTATATTTTGTTACTTACAGCTCGTTCTTGTCTTTTMGCAGAGCTTGTTTGTGTTTTTTGCCTTGCTGATGAGCTTGTTGTCGCGTGTGCCACAGATCTCGTTGGAGTAGCCTGGGAATTAACGGTTCTCGAATGCGGGGCCTGAGGAGCGACCGTTCTGGCCGGAGAAGCCTGGGGAACGCTTGACCTCGATTGAGGAGCCTGGGAAATAATTTAAAAAGGAAAAAAAAAATTAAAAAAGGTGTTATAGTAAAATTGCCGCGAGAATATATTCATATTAGCAGCCACAAWTGTGTAATGAAATACATCARTTGGAGATCGATGTCAAAGCCGTGAAAGCCGCGAAATGAGCTACAAAAGCAACAAACAAATAGAACAAACAAATACATCTGCTTTACAACATTAGGATACCAAATTAGCATATCAAATGGATGAAAAGAACATCTTACAACCCAATCATTAAGATAATTCTGGGAATATTCTATATGTTCCGTCTTAAAAGTATTGCAGTTATCAAGTTTTTTAATGAAATGTTTGAGGTTGCCTGCTAAGATGAATAAAGCGCAGACTTCTAACGAATAAAACATTATTATACTTAGTGATATGDAATCATTTCAGATTACGCGCGCTTTGATTAGTCACAGAGCGGGCTTCATTTTACTATGATTTTAAACCAGATTTTAAACACCGCATTTTAGTCAAATAAAACATAAAAATTTGCAAATTTATACAATTCAAATAAAGCATTTTTAAAACCTCCARTCTCGGATCACTTCCTTATATATTGCCTAGTAACAAACGTTGCTTGCTCTATTTTGTTAATAAACCGATTTTGTCGACCGCTAAAGGAAAATAATATCTAGTTTGTATACTACTAGTTGATTATTAGGAGAAAAAAMCCCGAAGTTTATAATCGGTAATAACTTCCACTCAATTCATTTTTGCCAATATCTAATTAAGCCTCATTCTTTGCTCGGTATACATCAATCAATCTTACCGGACGAATCGGTCTTTCAGCTGCTCTTTCCACAGGTTTATTCGTTCTCGGTGGTGGTGYTGGTTGACCTCTCGTCGCTTCTCGCGAATTTTGAGATCTGCTTTCTGTTGCCTGTGTCCTTGAGTCACGCTGAGAATAAAAATCTGCTCGTCAAAGATTTGCATAAGAGTAATATGCAGAACTGTATGCAACTTTGAGAATCTTTATGTTATGTTTCAAAATAGGAAACCCATGTCGAAAAAGTRCTTAGAAAATACATCAGCTGTTAGGTRCGACAATAAAAATACGACAGACAGWTATCATCAAGTTCTTTTGCTTTCTTGGATTGTKTTTAGAAGTGGTTGGGTGTGTTATTTTTGCTACGAAATACATAATTTCACTAATATATCTWATAATGTGGYAAARGAATYTTTATAAAAATCCGAATCGTATGTTGTAAAGATTATTTTACATATCAAATAATCTTTTGTTGCGTTCAATCGACGACAACATTACGCTATTATTTTTCTAGGGCTCCTGTCGAGAACTACAACAATAACGCGTAATATCGTCAACCGATATCAGTTTTATCYACAGCTTACATTAGTATCTGGTGCAGGAGTTGTCTTATGAGGTCTGGACTTGTTCAATGTGGCTCTCGAAGTACTGGCTGGTTTTTTCTCCGGCCGCTGACAGCTGAAAACAGGGAAACAATTATATAGTGCGCATGSTCAACTGGCTTGACCATATTGTCTAACACGGTTCATAAATAGACATAAATAGACCAAATACAACACTACAAATATTTACTTCTTCGGGACTATTTTTTCAATAATGTTGAAATCCGACTTTCAAAGGAAAAATAAAAAAAACAATCAATCTCAGAATAAATTGACTGACATGAGTAAAAAATGACAATTATTATTTTTGATCGACAAATTCAATATTATTTTCTCATGAAGACATCAAACCATTTTAATTGATTTCATAGCGTSTATATTCGTTTGCGCATGCTCAATTTGTTTAAAAATCAGTCCCACATTGTTGATTAAAGTTAATCAAATCGACATATATCTGGACTTACTTATTACAATCCGARTCAGGATTCATTTTACAGGACCAATGCTCATCAGGTTCCTTTTGTACGTAGCGCGAATGAAAGGCAAGTTCCCGCCATTTTAGACACTTGTCTGGAATAAAGCATATTCTCATTAAGGACCATCAACAACCGGCATTCAATGCGSTCGTGGTTTAGATTTTCCATATACGGAAAAYGAGGCGAYTTCAAATATCCATTYGCAATCCGTTTCCATCCGYAGATTTAATCTTACAATTATCTCCAAAGAGCATTAAGTAAGCTCTTTTCYRAATTACAAWTTATTTTTAATTTCRAAACACAACAAWAGTTYGTAMGGRATGCCGGTTTGTGAARGCCTTTTAAGACAGTGAAATAYWAGTAATTAAATCAAGCATGATACTCACCACACTGGACRTAAAGAGGRAGATCCATCATTCGTTTCCTKACGTACCGYTCGTCTACRGATGGGTCTTCTTTCCATTTTGAAGTGTTGTAACCGTATGCGTCCCTAAGGAAAACAATATTTTTTTTAGAATTTCATCTTAAAGATTTATAAAGTATCGTTGAAAGTAAAAGTACTTCGTACTTACCAAAATTTAACAACTCCTTGTTTCGCTATAGAAAGGGAACAATGTTAGCTACAATACTCCTTGTTTCGCTATAGAAAGGGAACAATGTTAGCTACAATGTACTATTTATGCTGTATATAAGTGACACTAATTTTTATTTAAATTTTCAAAGTTATATAGACGAAATTCCTATAGAAATGGAACAATGTTAGCTACAATGTACGATTTAGGCTGTATATAAGGGACACTAATTTTTATTTTTATTTTCAAAGTTATATAGACGAAATTCCAAGCTTACATATAGGACAATGCTTCCAGTAATCGTCTAAATGCTCCCCTAACGCTTTTGTCAGAGCTTTATACTCCTGAAATAGTAAAATTCATGGAGTTAGATCGTCGAAGCATCGTAAATAGTTGATTGAAAAAGAAACAGAGCGACACCTTGTCATATATCAAATTAGTATCACAACAACAGCAACAGCAACATCATCATCAACAACAGCAACAACAGCAACAACAACAACAGCAACAGCGACGACTTCAATAAGGAAGTAGGTCAAGGAGGATCGTTCAGATATTGTCAACAACCTTCAAAATGACTGTTGTCAACAACTGAACAAGTCATTTTCATATAAAAGAGGGCCAGAACGAGCAGCCTTCACTAAGAAGTGTTTGTTTACTCACCTTGCCGTCAGCGAAGTCTTGTTTGTTGTGAGTTGGTTCTAACACTAGGTACGGTACGTTAACTATACCCATCACTCCATAACCCTGGCTATAAAAGAAMAATTCTCATTTCTATTAATCCAAATATTATCTACTTTAGTTGCGAACTTATCTCAAAAGTAAGTGTTATTCTAGGTGACACGGGCAATCATAGGCATGAGCTAAATTGTCATTCCAAGAATCTAGTGAAACGTCGTAGAAAGTAAAACAGCCTTTCGTCAGATATCAGCGTCATATTGATCGTTTTCAACCATTTCCATGACATTATAAAAGATAAAAGACCGGCGGCCATGTTGGAAGAATGAACAACAGATACAAATGAGAAATCCTTTGTCGAAGTTCCTCCAAGATGGCCGCTGTGACGCATAGTGAAAACAAGGAATAGTACTAAAAGCCTGTTGTCCCTAAAGCACTTGGTGACTAAAGTTCAGTGAAGTAAGTGTAATATCTTGTCAGCGTGTTTATTTTATTTTCAAGTGTTTTTATCGCACTTACACTCCTCCTTCCGTTTGACATCCAACTTTTTCATACATTTTGATTAATCTGTGAACAACAAAAGAATCATTAGAGGTGTTTGTCTGCTTTTTCCTGTTTTTTTTTTAATCGTGGTTAATGACTCATTCAAGCGTCAGTTCTTTGTTCACTCGTCGGTTTACTGTGTTTTTGTTCATTCACTCGTTCTTATATATCCTCGCATATACTCCATTATTTTATTCATTCTATCCTTCATTCTTTCATTAGTTGATTTATTCATTTAATCATCGTTACCTATTACAGTTGTACACCATAACACCACAGCATCGCCGTTTATTCAGATTTATTCCAAATACAAAATCCAATGTTTGCGGCTCCTTTAATGCCCTGTAAAAACCATAAACACCGTTAGTTGAACAATGGCATTGTGCAGTATGTCGACTCTAGGTTTCCACTGCTTTGTTGTCGGTAACYTTTCCATAGAGCAACATTATTAAATACAAAACAAAAATACTTGAAAATGAAGCTTGCAATATTTTTTGCGATTAACATTACTTTCAARTKARGARAATAAGATTCTTTAAAGATTTTCAAGAAACCGATTGCGATACGCGAAACTCACACACACGGACTAACTAAATATCACACATAAATACAAATTACTTTTTTGTGTTATCGTAAGTCATTTTCTTAAAGTTAACATCAGTTCTCGCTTGTGCCAGACGAACTCCAGATTGTCTTTCAGCGGCCTGTTACAAAAACAAACATTGCGTCACTTCGTTTGTAGTAGGGCAATAAAGCCAACCGTATCTGTTTCTAGAAATAACTTACTATTGTATCTTTAGATGTTCCTAAACTTTCTGTCTTCTCCCTTTCTTCCCTACAAAGAAGCATTATGGTATTATGATAATAATCGCTGACCAATAATAAAAACATTGACGTACAATTGTGGGATAATAAATTGTTGTTAATAAAGTAAACAATGACAGTCATGATAAAAAGAACAATGACGTTGATGGTGAAGAGAACAATGATGTTGATGACAACGACATCACTGGGTGAAATGAACAACAACGTTGATGATGACAACGTCAACTAATGAAGTGAACAATGATGTTCATGATGAAGAGAACAGTCCCGTTGACCTGAARATATCATGCCATTGATGACGACAACATCAATGAASAAAGAACCGAGATGTCAATGATGATCAGACGACGACGTTAATAATGGAAATATAATAGAAAATCAAGTTGAAGATAACGATATCAATGGTATCAAATAGATGGTTGTAGGTTGGTCTAATTTTATTTACTTAGTCGAGCTTTCGGCTCACCTAGTAGCCATTATCAAGACTTACAGTTTACAAAACATAAAACAATGACGAATGAATGCTAACGACGATAAATGGTGATAAATGGTGCTAATGACGATATTCAGGACGTTTATTGTGCGGATGTTCATTATGTTGTTGATGACGGTGATGATGATCATCACTTTGAAACTATGGTTGGTTGGCCAAATACAAAATAATAGGCGATATGCATTACGGCGTCATTTACTACAACTACCAGAATGCTTTGCCAACTTTCTTTTGTAATGCAATTAGTGCCAATTGTTTTATTGATCTCCAATGGGATTAAAAATCTGAATAACAATGAAAATACGCAAGGCTCTCTTGTAGTTGTAGTAAAGTTACGTCATAATGCAAACGGCCTATTGAAGACGAGGCTCTAGTKAAATAAAAGAATTATCTCGTGTCCCCTGAGCCTCGTCTTCAATTCTTTTGTGCTTGGTTTGTGAACCAAAATTTCGAAAGTGAGCTATCAAGATAGCACGTTTGCAGTAATAGTTCAAACCTGTCTTGCATTTCCAGCTCTTTAGCTTTTGCCTCAGCTTCAAAAAATCAAATTTAATATTTTCATTATCATTTGGATCAATTGATTTGGTAGTAAATAGTGTCAAATACCTATTTTAAGCTCTTGCTCAGCTTTCTTTTCCTCTCGTTCTAATCGACACTTGAAGCGTTTGGACGTAAATGTGTATGTACTACAAAAACAAAATTCTGTTAATGACCAAACTGGCTGAAAATAAAGCAACACTTCTGCTTACTGCGTTGTCAATGTCTCTTAATGTATTGCTAACATTTGGGGACATTATGCGTTAAAGGACTACTTGAACCCAAAAACCTTTGCGATCGTTTCTTTTGTTTTACAAATGATCTCTTTTTGAAAGCTTTTCTCTGATCGGTTCAAAATCAAAGATGTCGGAAGGCAGAAACTCGCGCATAGGTTCTTGGATGGGCCTTGAAGAGTCTAAATTATCGTTAAAACTTACGCTGGCTTGTAGAGAGATGTGACTAGACGAACTGTTCGTACTTTTTTGTTCTTGGAAAAAAAATAATCAATCAATGGAAAAAAAGTAATCAAACAAGTAAAACGATAGGCTCGCTGTCATAATGCCCGTTCATTCGGTTGGCCAAGTTTCTACTGAGTGTTTAAACCAGTCTAACGTACCTGGATATAGATTTTCATCTTAGGGTCCAGGTATAATACTGCGGTGTAAGCTCGAAAAGACTTTCTCTCTGGTACAACACTGAAGATAATTTGAGATAGTTACCACCTGCAAAGTCCCTGCTATACTTAAATCCTACACTAAATTAAATTTTTAATTGTAAACTAAATTGTAATTTCCTATTTAGCAGAAACTAATAACTATACATAATAAGTTTTTCAAGTCCATTTCTGCTAAATGTATGTAATTTCGACGCGTGTTTTTTGCTTTTTAATTCTACTATTATCGAAGAGTTTTTCAGTTTCCCTGGAGTTCTTAAATTTCCTTAAAAATGACCTGTAGCCCTTGGTCACAAATAGACTTCTGAACCTTTTACGTCACTACTCGATTTTCAATGCATTGTGGGATTAGTTTCTAGAGAAAACATAAGAAATCCGCCATGTTTTGTCTCAAACATATCCCAGAATGTACAATGCGTATATGGTACATGACGTAAAAGCCTCTATTCTATACATAATGAAGYATATATCAAGTCATTATTCTATTTAAGGCAATCGAAATCATATATGGAGCACACGTGCTTATATTCCCGGCATTCCATATTGTAAACACAAGTCCATATATGGTCAGAATAACTCCAAATTCCACTTACGCATCTGTAAATTCTATTATTTCTATGTTTTCATATAAGGCAATCAACTCCATATTTGGGATTCTATACCTGTTTTTATCATCACCATATGTTTCGCCTGCATATGGGTCACCCATCAAGATATCCCGTGGATCGGTGGTGACCTAGAGTAGTTAAAAGAATATCAATAATATACATGTAGCTATGGATATTAGCTGTTTACCAGTACGGATCTTCGTATACTGTCTTTATGTAAGTATGTCGTGACAATTGGACACGTTCTGTTTCAAAGAAGGACATCAAGCTTGTAAACGTTTGGCACCGTTTTATCGAATTGTTGTCGCTAAAATTCCTTTAGGATATTATAGACCTGCCAGATCACGTAAATAGCGGACCACGCGCCATTCACTTGGAAGGCACAATTTTCAAGATTCTGTTCGACTAAAGGAATACCGACACACATTACAAAAAGGAATGAAATTTACTCACGTCAAGCTCTGGCTGTCCATTGTCCATTAACTGTAGGTTATACAAGATGACGAGAGTTCCTACCAAGAATAATACGACTAAGTTGTTCGCCCATATGATAACAAAATATCAAAACTACAAATGCGTATACTTTCGTGAAAAAGAGCAAATGACTCATGAATATAGCAAAGAAACGCCATATCTGTTCTACAAATGATAGTCTAAGCCAAAGAATMAAAAAACTAACCTGTAGATTTTATTTTGTCGAATTCTGCAAGAAGGCTCTCGGMAGTCTTGAACGGTGAGTATTTGGTAATGATGCCAACCTCAGTTTGATGCTAATCATGAAATCAGAACAGATCTAATAAGTACTTTGAATGGACCTTTCTGTTTTGAATACCACATCATATCAGCAATAATAACAATTCAATGAAATTAATGATCAATCACAGTCCTACCTGTTCTGCATCTCTTTGTCGCCTATATAAAGGACGTTTCGTCTTAGCGTCCCAATTCGGCATTGGAATTAAGATCTCGTTGATCTTTTCTCGCTCGTGGAACGTTCGAGAAATCATCAAGCAGCTTAATTTGTTATCCCTAAGGTAGAAAATATTTGAAAATAAAGAATTATTGATTGATCATATAAGAAAAGCATGATGCTGATTACAAAGATGACAAAGTGCATGATGCAAATATGGCTAAATAAAGAGCGGATTCAAAATCAGCACAAAATGGACAACGTTCTGAAGACTTATAGATTGTTTGGTATTCAGTTTTGATACGAATGCGGCAATTTCGTTTCTTACTCACAGGACCGACGACTCTGAGGCAGAATCGAGGATACAACACTAAGACGCAAATGAACTCACTTTTTTGTGAAGAGAATCATGTCTTTCGCTATTCTCATGGTACCCCTGAAATATAAATATAAGATTAAAACGATTAATTTGCAAAAACCTAAGATGAAAAATGAACATCAGTCAAAAAATGAAGAAGCTTACGATTTCAAACCATTGCCATACTGTCCAATCATGTTCTTGTCAATGATTCGTTTATCGGATCGCCCAAACTTGATAACATTTGACACTTCGTCTGGAAGAAAAATACATATTCCATTTTGTACGGGAAGTCTATGATAATGTAATAGTACTCAACTACGCTTGGGGAAACTGGCTAGTAGAGCGTTTATTTAACTTCTTCTGTTTCAGTGTTTCAACTCAATTTAGCTCTACAGTTATTTTATCCTAGTTTTTAACTTAATTACATGATGTAAGGAATATTATACATTTCCTCTGTTTTYGATGATTAACCTAAAATCCCGAAATATATTTACCCAACTTGGCTCTAGGAGAAGAGTTCCTATTGGTTGCAGATGTATAWTGRTAAMRTGYTYACRTRGGATAGTAATRAGCGCTAAATSGTGGCGCAACCCTACTTGAATATAGTAAAAGAAATAACTTAYTCCTRAAGACAAATATTATAAMCTTATGCTTAAACTTCGATATAATATGATTTKTCCCAYATATCTGTATATAGATATTCAACAATAAATCGAATATGGCTAAATACTGGAGCTATGAAATTCTTGCTMATCATAAACAAATRATATMTATAAATAATAATTAGCTTGGAATGATTGATAGATACTTTTCAAACAGAGACTAAAAGTCTATAGCTTGATAAGATCTTGAGGAAGCGACATATATTTGCGTCTAAGATGTGTATACTTAGTATATTGCCATAAGCAAAAGAATGATATTCAATGACAACGTTTTTGTCAAAACAACTTATTCGTAATTGAAAGTAATAAAATATTATCGGATATTTTCCCCTTTTACAATAACGCTCAGAACTATAGGTGGGCGCCAATCTTTAGGTTTTAGCTAATTTTATTAAATATCGAATTTCAAGCCACAAGAAAATCAAGCTCATAAATGAAAAAAGCTCATACCTGTTAGCAATTCCTGAACATTTGAAGGAATTGGTTAAATATTTTAAGAGATATCAAGCGTTGAATTTGTAAGATTTTCTAAAGAAATGACCGTGGTGGGCATAATGTTGCCAATCAATGAATGTTTTCTATAGATATTGTAGTTTTGAAATGCCAATATCTCGAAATGTAAAAAGGCGTTTGCCCTAAAAGACCTAAATCTTCAGGTTTTGTTGAGAGTAATATAATTTTGAATTATATGAGCTCAGGCTGCTTATTTTTTTAATTTTCATATTTTGGTTATAAACAAACTACTTCATTCTGCCCCCACCTATATGGGTATTACAATACATTTAACTCCACCCGAATCATTGACTTTCTCAAAGCAGTCAAAGTCTCGCTCAATTTTTTTTCGGTGCTTGGGATCCCTGTGTTGTGCTTAAAAATGTACAGGAATTCCAAGCGCCATGGGAAAGGATGATTGAACGAGACTTGGATTAAGTCTAMCGAATCACACGGAAACAACATTTTCAGTACCTGGATCCATTCCATCACCATCATCGAGGAAGCACAGCATGTATTTACCCCGGTATGACTCGGCAGGAACTGCAATTAACAGTACATGTCATAAAAAGAGTGAGAATTTCATAATTATTGAAGCTACATATACATTTCTAAATTACTTTTGTCAGTTCAAAAAGGTGAAAACTAAACCCAAAAAGCATTATGGGATATACTTCCGTTTACAAGCGTTTTGGAGGGTTTTGGAGGAGTTCATCATTTTATGGGGGGGGGGGGGGGTCTTGGAGGGGTTTTTAATGCCTGTTCCCAGAAAATAATCCTCATTTATTCAGGGCTCAAAATAGTGAACTATCAGTTACCAGACTTTTCACATTTTGGTCTTTTCGAGATCTTCGCCGGATAAGTACAAGAATTGAGAGAAAGTAAAAAAAACCTGTAAACTAGTCTAGACAAAGTCTAAAGAATCGTTTATCACTGGAAAAAATCGCGCGCTTTAAAGGTTGTAAATTTGATGTAAATATGATGTAAGTCTCCAAAATTCTGTAAATTTGAATTTTGGACAGTTACATCAAATTTACAACCTTCATAACGCGCGATTTTTTCCAGTATTATTGTGATTTGTTACATGCAAATAAACTCTGGCAAGCTAAGAAACGCACGACATGTTGCAGTTAATTTTTTACCATCTTTGAATAAAAGACGTTATGGCATTATGACGTTAAAGTGTGCGCAGTTTTGAGTTGCTCCAACATTGAGTGCAGCGAGTGGGTCCACTTCAAAGTTTTTAACATTATATGACGTCGCTGATGGTATTTTCTGCTTTATTGTCCTTATYGTGTTCTKGTAGATGTGAAATATAATATTACTAGTGCCATATGACCTTACTGAAAGCACAGGAAACCCATAAATGAGTGATAAGATGTTCACATAATGCATGCGCCAGCGAATTTCTCAGCTGTCGGCTATTCACTATTCTTTACCATCATCAACCCTTCCAGCTCATCTTTGCATTTCACATGGCGATTCAATTATTTTTTCGTGTTTGTTATGACAAATTGTAAATATACATATAAAATATATCTCCCCCACCACGATTGACTGAACTTAAGTCTTAAYCTGAAACAGCTGTTTTAAAATATATTCTGAAAGGGAGTATTCATGAATTAAAGCCATAACTACGTCATTGGATGATTGGAAGAAGCACAGGTAGCCCATAACTAGCATTTTGTTGCACTGTATCTTGGGGTCGACAAAGTGATATTTTGATAAAACGCCATAAAATGCAGCCACATTGAGGCAGTCAAACGGAGAAAACGGCCAACCTCCATATTACGATCACCTCCTCGGCCATGTTCATATTAAGGTAAGATTCGGGAACTTTCTTTCCGCAGCTAAACCGACATATGAATTTCAACAAAGTCAATTTCCTGGCAAAAATGCTGCTTCCATTGTGAGGAGCTAGTTAGGTGCATCAGGGATTCTCATGCCTTAAGATACTGTCTGCTGTAGATAAACATCTTTCGACTTTAACAAGGAATTATAACAGTCAAAATCTTTTGCTCACTTATTATATAAGGCCTTTTTTCCACGAAAGACGCGGATAGTAAATAACATATCATGCTTCTTAATGACTGCCTGGACATTATTGCGCCTGTTCTTGTGGTACTTGGTATGTGTCGTTGCGGCCCGTCCTCTCTGATGACGTTAAGTACAGATTTCAACTCGGATGGAAATGGTGTTATTTCTTGCTTCGCGGTTACTACTTTGCCTCCCTTGGTTAACCCGTTTCTTGTAGGATTTGATAAACATGCTTGCACCGTGCTCTCTCTTAAACTTGCGTAATGTTGCCAGATCGATAACGTGGTTTCACTACGTCCACATCATTACACCATTGGATTTGGAAAGAATCTTTACTTGAAGAATAGTCTTAAACCTCTATCATGAAACTTGGACGGAATACCAAAATCTGCTTTTGTTGTATTAAAAGYCGAGTTATCATGACAGTGCCACTAACGGAGTGCACTGAATGTGAATAAAATTCATGGATATCACTGAGACAGGGACCAGGGAAGTGACGTACTATAGTAATGGCTTTTGATTATACGATTGAGGATTGTCTACCGTGAACAAGCTGAGCTCTCCTGAATCTTAGATGCATTCTGAGAAGCATGCGTGGCTTTCAATAGGAACTCAGATTGTTATTCTTGGTTTCGTTGGATCTTTCTTGCTTGTTACTGCCTTCTTACGTGGGGTCTGGGAGGATAAGGACATCGTGCTGATGCATGTGGGTGTTCTCAGYGCAAATCGTGCCACTTCGAACTTAAGAACTCTTTACTCATGACTTTATCAAAATACCCTCACAAAGCACGTTAAAGAGAGCTTTGTGTCACATTTATGACGGGTTGTGGTGGAATGAAATGGCATCATYTCAGAGTTGAATTGCTACGTCATTAAACAATAAACACAGGAAACCAAGTAGTTGTGTTTTTGTTTTTGATTTCTATTATCTGAGTACAGTCCGATATCCCATCTCTTTCGAGTTTCTYTTGATCAGTTAAATCGACTTTTCACGGACCGCGTTCCGTATAGAAGTTGTCTGACTGCAGGACGAGATCACTTTCAGTYAGCATCGATCTGCTGCCACAGCATGACACATTCTCTGGTAAGCTACAGCTAATTTCCAATTAATCAGRTACGACCATGTAAAGTATTCCATTTCGTACCAAAATGTTATTTCAAACTTACTGGGGTCATCCTTGTGATATTTGAACTAGTGATGAGAATACTCAAATACTGCATTATTCATTGTCTGTAGCTMGGTCGTCACTCCTTTGATCAAACTTAATTTCCATTTCCATTCGTTGATGTAACTATAATTCGAATGATAACCTTGTTATCTCTCCCCTGCACGTCCAAGGTTGTTCCAGCTTGGCTTGTGATAATTACTTTTTTCATCATGACGAAATGCCAGTATCGAACCTTTCTATTACTGTGGGCTTTTTACGACGTCTTCATTAGGGTAGAATAGGACTCCTCATTAGCTCTTTCTTAGTCGATGWATGTGCGCTGCCATTGTCAAAAATAAGAATAGATGAATTACTWGATGAACAGAACTAAACCCAAGCGTTGAAGATGCTTCGTCAAGATGATTAGCTGAATATATAACGAAGTGTGATAGATAACTCTTCTGCGTCATATGTTAAACAATTCCAGTGCAAATGAAGGCGGCGTTTTGAAGACGTTTATTTACTTTGTAGGCTTTTATCTTTGTCATCTCTAAACAATTTCAGGAAAGGAACAAAGAAGAAGTCCTGTAGATGTTTTTTTCCCCACATTGACTTCGCCAACATGATAACGTATGATTTCTTGCCCAAAGTCATGAGAAATTTTCAACCTTGCAAAGGGTAAATCCACATTTTTGAATATGTTTCTTTGGTGTGTGATGAGCAAAGATRTTGTATTCAACTTAGTATTTTSTGTTKCCACAATAGAGGGATTTTCCAAGCCACTTTCTTGACGTCACTAGCTTTGGGTATTGAGAAACACCACAATGATTAACCATTCCGCTTTAACAGAAAAAGCGAAGTYCCACTGAAACATGCCAATGAATCCAGTTCTGAGTAAATGCCCAAAAGGTTCAAAAGTGCCCAAAACAAAACACATGTTGGCATATGTATTTTATAATTTTACGTTGTTATAGTCAACTTTAAAACTCTTGAAATATATATCTATCATTGCAAATCTCCTAAGGAGAGAGCATTTATCAAATGATGTAAAAAAAGCGTGCAACAAACATGAATTATTTCATTCACTTATGCTCTAGAGAGTTTTAGTCTAGAAGGTTAAAACTCATCATTTTTGATATTGAAAAATACTGTATTACAAAAAGGCAGGTGTTACCTGCACCTTAATTGTAGTTAGTATTTTTTATTTCATAGATTATAACAAACTGTTTAAATTGAACTTTACCAAAGGTAAATTTGATATACCGTTTTGTAATATATCTTGACGATATTTATAATAATAAAAAGAAATAATWTATGCAAAATGAGTAATTATCTTGGATATGTTTTTCTATGTTTAAGTATTTTACATATATATTAGGTACTTTCATTCTGTCTTYTAAAATTTTTTGATTATTTTCAGCCCACATTTTGTGTGTGTGTATTTCATAATCTTTCTTTCCTCTCTTTAATCCTCACTCTTTAAAGGCAATTGTCTGAGGCAGGTGAATTATAATCAATGTAAAGTAAGTCCAGGGGGTTGATGCTCTGTACCTCTTACCATCTTTTAAACAAATATATTGGACTTTATGAGTGACATAGACCTAATCAGAAAATTCAAGTTATCTGGGAGTAAGTTAAATGTTTATATTCYACAATAGATGATTTTAAGAATGTTATGAGTTTTCAAATGGGTCACAATGTACATAGCAGCACGCAAGCTGATTGGTCTGCTAATACTGTGAAAAGTACCTGGATTTCATGCTATGACTGTCAGATTGTAAAGCTTGTTTACGTGGAATAGCTATAGAATTCATATTTTTGGAGTATGGTTTTACTCCATGATATAAAACTCATTAGACTGTATGCAAGAGCTTAAATACAATATCAGTGATGCRGTTTTTAATACTATTTTACTCTTATTCAAGCTTATAAAATTATAAAAAATATATTAAATTAATAAATTCCATATTCATACAAGTCGTTGAAAGATTATCTGATCTGATCAGCCAAATTTTCATCCCTCAAAAGACTACAAAGTTGGTCTAACAGAAATTCTCATTTATTTTTAACAAAGCACTTAGGATTATTTATTTATAATATTTAATAATTGATCATAAAATATACTATGCTTTTAAAGCATTTGTAATAAACAATATATCTACATTTCTATCAAACACTGTTATTTGTTAAAAAGCTTCAAAGTTAATCTTTCGAGTTGAGACCAAGTTAATAAAACTGCAGCATAATTAAAATGCTTTGCTTTGTTGAGATAGTCAAAATACATCCATACTTGAAAAGATTTAAACAAACCTGAATAGATATCAATCCTTTTGGAAGCAGCATCTCTAAAGAAGAAAAAGCAAGAAAAAAAAAAGAGAAAGAAAGAATAAATTAATAAAAAAAATAAAGAATTATCAGGTATCAAGTTCATTGCAAAATTAACTTCCTGGTCTTTGCAAAGTTTCAAAAAATATAAATCTTGTCAAAATGAACAAATTTGAWAGTTCCCTTATTAGGAGTGGGTGTAGCTGAACAATGGAGGATTGATTGATCGGTATGTAAACACACTACCGATGAATAAAAACAACTCTTTTACAAGCCGAAAACAAAGATGGGCCGCGAGGGRAAATCATCTACTATTAGGATATCTCGCCTTCGCTTAGCAACAATTAAAATTGTGTACATTAAAAGTGCTACAAAKGGAGAAGTAATGATAACTACGCGAGCCGTAGTAAGAGTTTAAAAACAACTGGTTCKACTTGGTACGTTCGGTGTGATCTTATAACCGCGTGGTTWGSCTCTCACCTTGCGTTGTCTACAAGCTCAGCCAGAGCACCAAACAGGAATTCATGAGTTGTGCTACAATAAAGAAATATTCAATCAATCAGAAGAGTTAGGGGCAATCTTGGAGGATCCGTCTCGATAGAGGATATTTTATTTCATGGTTGACGGTTCAGTAAGTTTATAAGCAATCATAATTCATGCTGTATCGTGTCATGAGCCAAGAATACCCTGAAAATCCTTGATAAAACTACACTAAAGGATGAACTCTTCAAAATTAAAAGAGTTTATGACTAAACAATCGACGTAGTAAAATTGTTGTGCATTACGGCTGAATGAATTGATAATATTCTACAATTTTTACAAAGTTGCTGAAGGTGCAAGTATTTCAATTCGATGGAAAGCTCTAGAAATACTTTTCACATTCCTTTCCTGTAAGACGGACCGTATTTGTGATAAGAGTTAAGCAAGAACATTTTCTAACGTAGTTTGACATACCTGTTTGTATGCAGATAATCGTATGTTAGTTGAGCTCGAGGAATGCTAGCATACGCGTCACACGTTGTCATGTCGGTGACTCACCGGACTTAAAAAGACGTTCAGCTCCTGGGATGGGGAAGTGATCTGCCGACCTTACCGATTGACTTATAGAAGGCTGCTCTTTACTCGCGTTCTCTAAGAAGAGGTGATATCATTAGCTCACAAGGACTGATAGTAGACCGGCTGGAAGCTGAATGCCTCTACAACAACTGTTCTTAGGGCAATGTGACGTTATGGTAAATAAGTGTAGTTCATCAGAGTTAACATGTGATCTCAATCCGCTGCCACAGGAGCCACTTGAAAGCAGTTGTCGTCCTATGATTGGTTCAATGGTGTGTGATTGACACAGCTTTTGTTAGCAGTTAGAGTTGTGATTGGTCGGAATCTTGTGACACCATGATGGRTTCTTGACAATCAACAGCCAGCGCCCCGACTTTCGTTTCGCTGTGGCGTATTTTGTTTTTATCCACCGCTTGGTTCACGAATTTTACCTATATTTGAGTGGAATTTACGCCAAAATCTATCGGCTATAAGATAATAAGGTAGGTTTCTCGCAGCCCAATCGAAAAATTATAATTTGGTGAGCATTTCTCGTTGTAAACACTCGAAAAATCGTCTCTGCAAGGTTGACTGTAATTCGCTTGTTGACCAATGTACAGTAATAAGATTCTCCGTTTGAGCCTTCGTCGATCTAAAAGCATGTCATACAAAGACATCTCTATAGCCTTATTGTGTCTTGGAAGTTTTATCTGTCATTTTCCCCGATTTCTACTTTGAATAACCGGTACATTGTAGAATAGAACAAGTAAGTTGCTAGACCGCCATTGTGCATACATTAACAATTTCCGCCTGATCAGCTCGCAGAAGGTAAAATCTCCATAAATTTGCATATTCACTTTTAGCATCCTAAATAAGCGTAGTCCGATTATATGAACGATGAATATTCGTGTTTCAAAATAGCGTATTTGATCGTTTCTTAACAAGTCAACTGTATCTGTGGTCAATGTCTACAAGGTCAATTCAGAGTTCCTACCAGCTTCGTTTCTAGAAGGTCCCGTTTTATAACATCCAGGTGCACTTTCTATCTATTCATTAGTTGGTCTTTTTGCCATCTTCTAAGTATATTTTGAAATGTTGACATTTGGCTCTTCTTGATTGGCGCCTATTGGCAGTGTAATTATCAGAATTATAATAAAATTGTAATGACGTGTGTTCGCCAGAATAATTGACAAAACGAATTGTTACAGCAACATCTGATCTGTTTACTCTTCTTGCTTCGCTTCCTCTTTAGCAATAATGAATAGTCTCGTCAATATTCAATTTTTTTAAGCCCAAAGAAAAAAATGAGAAGAGGGAAATGGAGAAAAAAATAGATGGGAAAAACTTAAAATTAAACTAGCACTWAAAATTAATATGAAAACAACAACGGCGGTTGCTACTCTTAATTCGAGGTACTTGTGGATATATTGAGCCCCAAAGAATATGACACCTAATGACGGATTGTCGGACTATTATACCGTTATTTCTATTTGTAGGTGATGCCGGTAAGATTTTGATTTCTCTACCTGATCATTGAGGGTGGATAAGTGGCAGGAGAATTAGTAATGGGATGATAAACTAAAGAAAATGGGGATCGACGAAGGACCATTCGACCCCTGGCAGGTGACGCAGATGGCAAGCAGATAAGTTTGACATTAACAGACCTGATCAAGCCGCGATAACAGACAAACATGACTCACCACGAAAGTATTCCTGTCCCTTGAGTGATTGTCACATATAGCGGAAACTCCTGACCACAGCATGACTTGTAAAACGATCTACATAATTGGTCGACGGTGACAACCCAGACAGGAAAAATGCTAAACAATGCCATGGCGCATTATGAAAACGTTTGTTTGCCCAACACTCCACGCAAGATTATTCCAGATGATTTCTTGACACAAACACAAGTTACTCCGACGTCGCGAACCTTGTCAACCCCAAAAATCCCAAAGACTGATTTGCGGCCTTATCTCACTGTGTTGCTAGTGGTCCGCTATCAAACCTTTTCAACYCCCMAAATCCCAACGTTATTTTCTGGRTGATTTGAGTTTGTATTTTGACTTCGTAAATCTTCACAAGCATAGTCGGACCACCGAATGAAATATCTGAGTAAAAGATCTTTGGAAAGGACGAGGTCTATGAAATTCAAGGGAAATCAGCTCAGGTTTTAGGGGTTGAACGACTCTTGGACACTGCTTCAATCCCATGGTGTGGTCTCTCAAGTGCCTCTTCCTGACATTCTCAAACGACGAAGTGATCCCGTTTTTGTCCAAGTGTAACACAGGAAAATTGAAAGATAAGGAGAACTCCATGTCAAGTGTTTGAATGTATGCAGGTGTCTGCAGATCACTCTATTTAATAAAGTGAGGTCTTCCGTTGATCCAAGCAKTGGGCTATTGGCATACACTAGGGGTACAAGGCGATTGTACGGTTATGTGGTCCCTGTAAGTGGCAGCCATTCACGGATCATAGCCCTGTATCATYTCGTCGCTTCGCGAGTTCTCAGTTCGCTCATTACAACGTGTAACATTCACTAAAAGGAATAAAATTGAAACTATTCTGAYGTATGTTATGTTTAATCCCCACCCTGAAACTATGGTGCCCTCCGACTACCTACCCTCCCTAAAACCGSAACATGCGTAAAAAATGTCTTCGTCACTCGGGTTGCAAGATTCGCCGAAATCTTTTAAAMGGTTGAAAAAGCGACGACAAATAACATCAGCAACACAACTGCCTCATCAACCTGGCGGGTTTTTCCTCGCTTCCTCCACTGGAAGAAGTAGTTTCCTGTTGACCAACCAAGGCAAGATCCCAAAGTGACAAAGAATCTTTTCCCAACCCAAAGCACCTCACAACAGATATGGTTTTTGGTCCCAGAACGGACCCATGCTTTATTCCTACACATTTATCGTCTGCCGCTACACAGTAGCAATTTATCACAAAATAATATAAAACTAATATAGTGAAATAGATAATATACTACTATAAATATTAATGAACAAATAAGTTGTGTTATAAATTTGATGATTAAAATGCTCCGTCGGAGACTCCGCCACAACAAAGTACTTTTGTCGAGAACCTTGGCAAGTTACTAAAGAAATGTAGTGTAGCTGTAGAACTCTACTGACACCCCTTCGATGGGGGCAGGCAAGTTCCAACACGTTAAAAACAGTCCAAAACATTTCCTGTATTTGCGCAAGTTCATGCCAGCGGCAGACTGCAAATATTTCAATTAAAAAACATGTGGTGTATCTAAATCCCCCCTAACTAACGTTATAATAAAAAGTCCAGAACATTCTAAACGACTACTGACTAACTACCAAGTACATACTTAGAGTGAATAACTAACATAACCATAATCATACAAATAAATGTACCCTAGCAGTACGATACAGCACCAGATTAATACCGACATTCATAACACCCGATACCTCATACAATTGTCCTCGTTCGGTCCTGCGTCCTTCAGGAACACAACGAAGATCTCTACGAGGTACTAMCAAACAAGCTGCCAGTAAAGAGTGCATTTCCAGCAGTGTAGCGCGACATCTKGGAGACTTTTACAAATYCCAATGACCTTAGCGGTCGYCGCATGAGCCTTCCGACATACGACGAGGCAGGAATTACAGAAAAGTAAATACATTGTGCAGTAKTATTATATACAGTAATTGGATAGATAATCTCGAATACAAAAATGGAATATTAGAGTGCACCCACATAATCCTTTACACAAATACTAATTACTACTAAATAGAGTTGATTACCGTATTAGAGTGAGGTCAATGAAACCCGTTAAACAAATWTCGACTATTGAAGTTTGACAGRAAAGAAAACAATGCATTTAAAGCGTCCTAAGGTGTATTGCGTATTTCACGGGGTTTTTTGACGTCACTTGTACCTTTGTTTCGAAGATTTAGTGCGTGGACTATATTATAAATTTAGACTATACCAGAAACCAACTCTATTACAATGCCGGTCGTAACTCCAGTTAACATAACATTCAATTATCTATAGCCGGACTGGAGGCGTCAGTGCAGCTACAGTAATTTAATATTACACTTAATGTGTATTGCGTATTTCACGGGGTTTTTTGACGTCACTTGTACCTTTGTTTCGAAGATTTAGTGCGTGGACTATATTATAAATTTAGACTATACCAGAAACCAACTCTATTACAATGCCGGTCGTAACTCCAGTTAACATAACATTCAATTATCTATAGCCGGACTGGAGGCGTCAGTGCAGCTACAGTAAATTCATTTTATCCGACATATCGTTTGAGCTGCTATACAGAATAGATTTCGAAAATCTTCTTTTATGACTACATTCCGACTCAATTCAGTCATAAACGAAAATTACTAAAGCAAACAAACTGAATACCGRGAGTATCACAGCTCAACAAAAACCTAATTATTTGAAAATGGCTGATAGCTATCATATGAAGTCGCTTGGTGACTTCGCCAAATAAACATTTACAGCACCTCCCTTAGCAGTAGTGCAGCCTTCATATGACTGTGCAATCCCACCGATCAAGSAACGGACACGACGCGGAACCTCGCCTGGTAATGAAGCCTTATAAAAATTCTTCTCGGTACGCAAGTGTCGTGTTTCTTGGACGGCAGTCACGCGGAATCCGCTCTATTAGTCAGATTTCCATTCTAAGAGCCAGCCCACTAACTCCATGAAAATAGTACTAAAGTATTAGAAGCACTAACAAAATATTACCAAATTACGCCAATTCCTTTGATTCCCATTGATCGATCAACAACGAATTTTCACGAAACAAAATGATCTCATAAAACCCGTGAAATTGACTTAAGTGTGACAGTCCACAAGACACAATGCAATTAGAGCCTACCAAGGTGTATTAATTTAATATATCTTTTTCAGGGGTTTTGTGACTTCACTTGCAATTCTGGTAAAATGTGACGAARCCAATGTTAATGGCAGCACATTCCCATTTAGTACAACATAATTCTACTGATACGTAAATTTTCCTATTATTTATGTAAGAATTTTTAAATTCCTAAATACTTTAATTACCTAACGATAGAGTAATAGTTACTAGAGTAAAATTATTGGAAAGATGGTAAGCTGAGGTTTTATAACTACTATTTTACTGTAAACGAATCAAAGTTTTTTTATCACGTTTACCCTAAAGTGAATGATTATAAAGGTGACTTGACTAAGCTCTGGACACCTTYAAATACAGGTCAATTCATGGGAATACAGTAATGGGCCTGCAGCTGTATTTGCAGGCTTGGCACAAATTTCGCTATGAGATCAARACGTGGGAAAAATGCCTAAGTAAGGCACAGCCTTATATTGGGCATWGCTTAAATAATCAATAACCTTCAAACAGTGRTACTTCTGTTACGCGGTCACCTTCTTTAGGCCCAATGTTCCAATTCTCTAGTCACCCTCYACTCAATCTCTATTTAGCGGCCAACGATGCACCTATATCAAATAGGCACTACGGAACTAAAACCCCAGTCACTGACCGCTTAAAAGGGGTACCACCGTGCCTACCAACCGCTCTATTCACTGACTACGACTTGAAATAACTAATACAAAGAAARAATAAYCCAGCTAATTRTAGAGACGTCTAAGTTACACGCTCACCCTGGCACACGCCTGGATCTTACTTTTTGGTTCTTCTTTGGTGTTTTCATCGTAATCAGAATCCTCTTCACACTTCACTTCTGACTTGGATCTCTTTCGATTAAACTTTGCTGTATTTCTACATCTTGTTTCCCCYGACAAATTTTTCTTTTCCTCGTCAATYTCACCATTGACTTCACATTGTCCTTCATTAYTTTCTACGTTTAATTGTAGGCTATCACTGGATGAGCTGTCATCCGGGCCAACAACATCTATTTCAATGTCTTGGTCATTGTCCTCATCGTTTAGATCCTCGTCTGTGTCAGTTTTCTCGTCATCCTCTTCACATATCGATATTTTTCTATCTGATTCATCACCYTCAACCCCRGTATCGGTGCTGCTTGTGCTAACACAAGTATTGCGGCCTGATTCTTCTAGTTCTGCAGCAGAAGAATKAGKTGCACCTTCCTTGTCCAAGTTTGGAGACGTCTGAGTTGCAACCGAGATGGGTAGAATTCGAGAGTCCAGGCTTTCAGAAGGTAAAGAGGTAGGTTTCTTTGAAAGGGAAGATTGTTTTATCTCTGCAGATGTTGAAGATGCACTCTGTTCGTTTACCTCCGATTTCGCTTTTCCTTTGAGAGCACCTAAGCGTTCTAAAAGACTTTTGTTGTTGACTTTTAAAACATCAACCTGAGTCACATAGTCTTGCTCTTGTTTTTTCATTGTCTGTTGAGAAAAATAGAAAATCATAACTTGGATTGGGTACAAGAAAATTTGAAACAACAGCTGAAGAAGGTACACTTTTGCCATCAATTTGATCCACCATTGCTGGGTACACGACGGAAGGATACGTGGATATTGATAAAAGAAGGAATATTCACCAAATGCAGTCGTTTGAATTCAAATGATATATTTGATGGTTTGCTTTGCTTTTGTGCATATTGAATACCCACAAAAACCTTGGAATCGATGGCCATGTTTGAACCATGTTTGGACAATAGCTTGATAAATAATAGTTGCCTATTAGAGGAGTCAATGAAAACATAAGCTTGTTTATATCCATACTGGCTGTCAAATATATATATAGTCTATTTAAGTAACAATGCGCTTAAGAACTAGGGAACTCTCTATTGTTCTGTTCTATTTAAAAGCTCGTATCCAATCATAAGCACTCAAAACAATAGCCAAAAGATGCTTCTAATTTGCTATGTTCCCCATATAGAATTGCCTTAATATTAAAGCTAAAGAAAGCTTTCATGAAAGTGAAAACAGACATCAAATAAAATATTAGAAATTGCGCTAACTTGTAAAGTTATAGCAGATTTTCATGTTTTAACCAATGGGATGGATGGATTATACAATCAATGCACAATTAGCACCTTCTTGCATTCCTTTGCCGTTTGCTTCCCTAGTTGTTACTCGGGGCATTACTTAATACTACTACTACTATATTTCTATTTCTATTGACCGAGGTATTTTTATACCACTCCTACATCAAACGTGAAAGTAAGTATCGATWYWTT